CGGGCCAATCAGAATTTGCCAAGTCGGTCTGTTTGTAAACCCTGTCAATTTTATCTGTTTGAGTGGCTTTATCCTTTCCAATAATTGCACACACAGACAGAGAACTATAATAATTTATGTTGACGAACTGAGTCCTAAATTAGAGGTCCGTGTCTAAGGACACAAAATTCAGCAAAAATTAATGTATTTCAATTCCACTGTCTATTCTTGATATAGTAGTACTTACTGCATTTATGATGGTGCCTCAACATGTGGACTCCAGACCCGAGCGACAAGAATTGAGATAAACGAGGAAGAGTTGAACTTCATCAATAAGGTATCACGTCACCACAACCGTTCACTTAGACCATACAAATAAATTATTTATATGTTAAAGAGCATATTTTATAATTTAAAGAACATATACAAATTTAAAGTAAATTTTTTTTGAGTATTTCAACGTGTTATTTATTTTTTATAATACTTAATTTCACTACTCTAACAAAATATTTAATTTTTTCTTATATTTTATTTTTGTAATTTCCTTCCAAACTATTATATTATTTTCCTCCATTAAATGCATTTAATTATAGACAATATTTTTTGTTCTTCAAAATTGGAGAGTCAAATTTAGAGTATCTTCAAGAGACCATTTATTTAAAAAGAGTATCTTGTGAATTATAGAGAGCATCTTTAAATTTATAAAGTCAAAATTTTTATACACTCCAACAATACTTTTTATTTTTTTTTTCTCAAAAAATATTTAACAATTTCTCCTCGTATTTTAATTTAACATGATTTTTGTTGATAGAATCAATGGTCTAGTGTGGAGCAATAATTAGGTTATTGAAGCTCAGTTGTTGGTGATCATAGTGACTATGATGATGACCCGAAAGGTGTGTAGAGTACTGAGTTGGATGAGAATTTAGTGCGACGGATCATTGGACAATGTAGTAGTGGCTGATTTGGTAGATGATTTGATGGTGAATTGACTTAAAGATGCTTGACATTTAGATTGATGTTTTGTCGATAAAATGATTTAAAGATGCTTAGCGGTGAATGAAGAAATAGGAGGGACGGTGGTTGTGTTAATTTTATTTTTTAAAATTTCTATCACTTTATTGAAATGATTCCAATTTTTAGTTGGTGTTTTGTCATTTGTTTTTAAATTTTTTTCACTTTTTTTAAATGTTTGCCACTTTTTTAAGTGTATGTCACTTTTTTTTCTGTCACTTTTTTAGCATTTGTCATTTTTCTTGTTGTTTCCTTGAAATTTTTGTCACTTTGTTGAGTGACATACATCAATTTTAAATAAAAGTAACATTATATATCGTTGTATAATTAAAAAAAGTGACACATAACTTTTCAAAGTGACTTTATAAGAAAGTGGCACTTAAATTTACATAGTATTTTTTACTTTCATAATACTTTTCATTTGATTTTTCAAAAGATTCCTAATTTTAATTGGTTGAGTTGATAGATGACGGTGGTAATGAATTGACTTAAAGATGTTTAACGTTTCGATCGGTGTTTTTGGATAAATTGACTTAAAAATGTTTGGTGGTGAATGAAGAAAGAGAAGGAATAGTGGTTGAATCATTTTTTTTTAATTGTCGCTTTATTGAATTGATTATAATGTTTTAATTGGTATTTTGTCACTTTTTTCTTTAATTTTTGTCAATTTTTTAAATGTTTATTACTTTTTTGAATTTTTATCACTTTTTCTATTATTTTCTTGAAATTTTTGTCACTATTGAGTGACGGACATTACTTTTTAATAAAAGTTACGTCATATATCGTTGTTTAATTAAAAAAGTGAGACTCAACTTTAAAAAGTGACATATGTTTTTTAATAAAAAAAATGACACCTAATTTTACACGGTATTTTTTTTCCTTTCAAAATACTTTTCATATATTTTTTCAAAATATTCCTAATTTTTAAGTTATTTTTGTTAAGTTTTTAATTATACATTAGAAAGAGGCCATTTCGAAAAATTGCTCTGAACTTAGGCGTGTTTTCCGGGGAAGTAGGAAAATATTTTCCATTTTCCACTTTCCACTTTT